CAGGAGCAAGGGGTCAAGTCCGCGGTGGAACTCGGGCTGGGAGCACCTTAGCCGGGCTTGGTCAGTGGATGAGGCTGCTACCACCAGCCAGACTTACTGCCCTCCTCTGCCCTCCTCCGGGAAGCCTTCCTGCCCCACCAGGATGGGTAAGGCCCATCCTCCAGGCCTGGGCCAGTCATTTGCATCACACTGGCCTCTGGTTCAAATACAGACTTAAAAGGGCTTAATGGACTTGACCTTGGGTCATGTGAGGTCCAGCACCTGCCTCCTGGCACGCAACAGGCACCGCCCAAGAGAGGTTTGCCGGCTTCTGCTGCTGCTGGGACAGTCCAATCTTCCTAATGCACCCCCAAACCCCCTCCGCTAGGAGGGGCCTCCACCTTGATGGCTGAGCGAGGCCAGATGTTAACACCTGAATGGTGGCTCAAGGTCGGGCCTTGGGACCCAGGGTCCTAGTCACTCACAGCACTGAACAGGAGACGGCCACGGCTGACCGGCCACGGCCGACAGACGGGAAGGGCACGTCGCTGTGTGCAGCTTCCCGTACCCGCTGGGCTGGGCCCCCGCACTTACAGAAGCCCAGAAGGACCAGACGCCCACTGCCTCTGGCACCTTGGGCTCGGGCTCACCCGGGGCCTCACACACCAAGGGCAGTGAATGTCACATTTTCCTTATTATCAATCACGGTTTGGCCTAAACCGAGACCAGGGGCGACCACTCGGCCCCCGGGTGATCCCACCAGCCACGCTCCTTGGGCCCCAGAGAACGGAGCTCAGCACTGTCCCCCCTGAACCCGAGAAGTAAATGGGGTAATGTTCTCCAGGAGTGGCCCCTAAGATAAATGTTTAAAACTACATATCTATTTGCACATTTCCAAGCTGACACTAAAATTTCTCATCATAAGCTTAAATGCTTGTAGAGGATGTAATTTCCAACATATTGTAAATATTAACATTTCAAAATAAAACTGTTTCTGTTTCTCTTTTAAATGGATCCAATGGAATCTAAATACCACGGCGATCTGTGATCCACCATCATCCATTTAAAAATCACATAATCAAAGTCTCCTAAACAACCGCAAATTGAGCAGAGCTCCTGCACCTCCTCGAGGTTGTTTTCAACTCACGTCCTGCGGGGTGGAGGGGTGGGGAGGTGGGGGGTGTCCCACCACCCCAGAGCAGTTTACGTCTGGGGCCTTTTCTGGATTATTCTATTGTGCCACTGGGCCCCAAAAAAAACCTTTAAATTTTTTTTTGTCACGTGCCCCTAAAGTTCTAAGTGTCAAACATTTTCTTCAGGGCCCAATTATCATAACAATTATTAGTGTATATAACTGACCAATGACAGAAACAAGTTAAAAATTGTGTAAAGTAGGCTCTCCCTGCTGGCCCACCGGGTTAAAGCAGAAGCTCTTCTGAAGCTCTCCAAAGCCACGGCAGCAAGAGTTCGATCCCCCGCCAGGGAGCTGACCCACATGGTGCGGCAGACCTCTCCTGACCGCCCACTGCTCCCCTCAGCAGTGTGCTTCGTGGATCTGCCTGTTCTGCTCCCCACTCTGTCTCTGGTGAAGCCTCTCACTGCCCCTGCACCTCTGGCCTTACCCCAGTTCTGTAAGCATAAATAAACAAATCTTTTTTAAAAAATGTGTATAGTAAGGCCCTCCCTGGTGGCACAGCGGGTTAAAGCACTGCACTAAGAAACTAAAGCCACTTCAGCATGAATTCGATCCCCGCCTGCCCCGGAGGTGACCACATGGCGCGGCAGACCTCTCCTGACCCGCCCGCTGCTCCCCTCAGCAGTGTGCTTCATCAATCTGCCTGTTCTGCCCCCTACTCTGTCTCTGGTGAGGCCTCTCACCGTCCCTGCACCTCTGGCCTGTACCCCAGGTCTGTATGAACATATAAATAAATCTTTAAAAAAAAAATGTGTATAGTAAGCATCAAAAACTAAAACCTTATTGGAAACACATTTCAGAAGAACTGACAGGAATTTCTCTCAATTATCTCATGTCTCCAAAGATGACTATTACCGATTGCCAGAACAGGCCCCGTTTATTCTGTAAGCTATCTCCACTTTTCAACGGTTGTTTAATAAGATAGGAAATCGTTTTGTCAAATTAAAAAAAAAAAAGTAATGGGAAGAGCTACTGTAGGAGATTCTCCAAATTCCTTGAGAATCCCATGCCAAGAATTACAGCAATATACTGTCAAAAGTCATTGTAAGGTTCTATCAGCTGATTACTCAATCAGTTTCTCTTTCAATTTTGTAGCGAGTGAAGAAGTGAAAACAGCCTGCTGCCCCGGTTCAAGCCGGCTGGCCTGTGGCACCACCCGGTGGGCGTCATGCCCGGGGCACACAGCAGGCTCGGCTCTGCCGGGTGATGACCAGCTTCCCCTACGTAATTGGCTTCCTGGGTGCCATGCATGGTGCCGATGATCCCCATTTTCAGGTGGGAAGAAGGAGGCAGCGTGGTTAGGAAACTTGCCCAAGGTCACATAGCCAGAAACATGAACCCGGGCACAGTGCCTCACAGGGCATGGCTGCCTTCAGGGAGCTGGGAGGAGGCGCTGGGATCCCTCTCCACAAGCACCTTCCCAAGCACATCAGCTGTGGGACCCGGCACTGAGAAAGCTGAGAATCTGCAAAATTCACCTTCTTCTGTGTGCACGTGCTCCCACCTTCAAGAGTCACACACAAATGCTTCTTTCACATAAATGGCACCGAGCCCGTATACCTTAGTACCAATAAATGTTAAGCACTCGTTAGTGTTGTTAGAGAGCAGGAAAAGAAGCAACTCCCATGACCTTGGCCAGGACCAACACTGCAGGTTTACCAGCCTTTTACAGCTTTGGTATCTACCCTGAGACCCCAACATCCCTCGTCAGACACACCTAAAGCCCAGGTGATAAGGCTCGGATAGGTGCCCGGACCATGGAGCAGCCTGCTAACATGCAGGAGACCCCAGAGCAGAAACCCCTCGAGGACGCCAATCCTAGTTCTCCCGCGCAGCAGCAGGTTCCCCGAGAGAAGTCCCAGCATCCTGCACCACTGTGTCCTATTCTCTCCACTGGACATGGAAACATCATCATGGCAACAGAAACAGGCCAGTGGCCCCTTATCCCTCCCTGCACCCTGTCCCCAAGCACCCTGTGGCCACCAGCCTGGAGACCCAACACATAGAGCCCCATTTGATTCTGAAAACCAGTCAAGGGTTTGGCTTCTAGCCCTTCTCTCTACATCTTGAAATTTCAACTTCTGCAAACAACTCAGGGATGCCAGGAGGCAGTGAGCAGAGGGACAGACGTAGGTTTTATTTTTAGACGCTGATATGGAAAGTATCCGTTTGGCTTCACTCTGGTCCCTAGCCACCACCTCCTGCCCAAAATCGTCACCAAAATGAGCAGCAGACATCGAGGAAGATTTCATAATTCTGTGCCTGGCACGATCTACAGAAGGGCTCCAGGCTCCATTCCACCCCCAGGCTAAGTAGATGACGGGGCTCAGCCGAAATCTTCCCAGGAAGTCAAGCAGCAGCAACACACTGCCCCTCCAGCGGTCTCTCACATTCACGCTCCAAGGCCCCTCCCTCCCCTCCAGTGGTGCAAATGCTTCCCAGCTAAGGCCCAGGTCTTAAGTCCACAAGAGGCAAGTATTGAGGCATTTATTTCATTTCAGGCAGTGTGCTTAGTGAACACACGGTGAACACACGGATTCACCTCCTGAAAAACGGGTCCCAAAAGCAGCGTTCTGTGGACCCCCACCCTAACAACAGGAAGCGCCTGACCCTTCGCACAGCAACTTCACCTACAGCTCTAACTACAGGTCTGATTCTCAGTGAGGGGGGGGGTTTGGGGGGGGATACAGCAGCATCTGCATAGGGCCCAGGGACTTCCAAGGTGACCAGTGATGGGGATCAGGAGACAAAATCCATCCTAGAGCAGGGTGGTCTGACACCTGGCCCAGAACAACAAAGGTACACCTGCACCACTTCCACCCACTGCTGCACCCCTGGCAGGCATTATCAATCAATCCCCGCCCTCACCTATTCAGATTCAGAATCCTCCAGGCAGCCACTTACCCATCAGAAACGCCCCCCCTAGGCACATTTCTTAGTGCCTCCTGATGGACAGAGAAATTAACACCCTCAGATGACACAACTTTGCCCAACAAAGATGAGCCTGGATGAAAAATCCACTACTGATGAAAGGCTTCCATAAACTACCTCCTCCCGCAAAATAAACCTCAGCCTCTGTGTGGCAAGTTCAACCCTCACGCAACCAGGAGGGAGGACAGAAGAATTCTGCAGGCCTCCACCACAGCTGCCCAGCCCAGCCTGCCAAGCCCAGCCAAGCTGCTGTCACCGTCTGTACATCCTGTTTCAGGGCCACACAGCCCTGACATCCTTCCTTCTCCCTCCATCCACCTTCCCCTCCTTCACCAGTCAATGAGCACTGGACGTAAGCCCGGGGGAGGCAACTTGAGGGTCGGGGAGGCCCACCGACTCAGTCCACCCTGCAGGAGCCAGGGGCCATAGGGGAGATCAGGTGCAGCAGCAAGAGTACAGGAGGTAAAGGGACCATGGCCTGTGGGGGGAAGGCGTGAGAGGCAGAGGGACGACAACACGCCTCCTGTAACACGAGAATGGTCCGAGGCAGCAGACTCGGCCAGGGAACGGCGCATCAAGGCAGGAGCCTGGGGGCCCTCAGGGGAGTCTGAGGACAGGGACCCCAATCTGTGGCGGGTGGCATCCAGGACCACAGACATCCGGCTGGGGGGTCCTCACCTACCCATCTCCCAGCCCACCAGCAACCTCCACTGACAAAGCCACAGCCATGCGACCAACCCAAGAAGCCACCGGCCTGCCCGGTGTCCTACAGGCAGAAATCACAGCGCACCCACGGGGGAGAAGGCAAGCGCGTGAGCCTGACGCGGTGGGGCGAGGGCAGGGCGTGCTAAGGGACCCTCCACGAGAGCGACAGCGAGGCGCAGCGGGCACTCACCTGCACGACTTCTATTCCTCGCTTCCTGTGGAGAGAAGCAAAGAAAACAAAGGTTACTACACAGGCAGGACTCTTCCTTCCAGAATATTCACTACAGCCAGCGAAGGTGCAGCTGTGAGGACAACTGGCGGCTGCACCTCTTGGGTTGTGGCCCTCAGAATAGTCTGGTTTATGAACTCCTCAGTCACGGGTGTAAGAGGACTAGTTCCCCAGCGGGAACCCTACAGGGACCCCAGTTTTGCCTGCTTGCTCCCAGTCAGCCGTCCCCATCCCAACCCAAGTCAGGGCTTCGTCGGCACAGCTCCAGCCTGACACCCTCCCCATGACTCCCCACCCACAGCCTACAACCCTCGTCAACTCAGCCAGCTCCTATGCGCCCCCAAACCCCCACCCGAAGTCTAGCGCCTCGTGCTGGCGTCCCGGGCCTACCTCAGGCTAGTCCCCTAGTCCATCCACGAACCCACGTGAGGAGTCCACAGTCTCCCTTGCCCCAAACCCTTCAGTCCTGCTCTGGCTGCTCGTCTAATCCCTGGCCACCTCTGACCCTACGGACATACTACCCAGCTCTGACCCCAGTCCAGCCATCACCTGCCGCACCAGAGTCCCCGCCCAAACCCGACCTCGTCTCCTCCACTCTCGCCCACACACATGCACAAAGTGTCCCTGCAGGTCCCCCTAAGTCCCCAGTCCCCTACTGCAGGGCCTCGGCCCGCATGTTCCATGCAGCCTACAGACTGGACTCAGGGCCCTCCCTGGTGGTGCAACGCGTTAAAGCACAGCACTATGAAGCAGGCTGCAGCCACTGCAGCTCGAGTTCGATCCTTGGCCAGGGAGCTGACCCACATGGCGCTGCAGACCCCTCCTGTCTCATGCTCGGCCCCCCTCAGCTGTGTATTTTGGTCAATCTGCACTTTCTGCTCCCCACTCTGTCTTGGTGAATCCTCTTGCATGCGTAAGTAAATAAAGTCTTTAAAAAAAAAAAAAAAAAAAAGCCTGGACTCAGAGCGCCCCAGAGTGCCCTGCCCCCGCCCCCGCTTCCACACGGGTGGGTGTCACCACAGTGAGGGCCCCATAAGGACACACAAACAGGTCCCTGTAGACTGTGCGTTTTCCTGGGAAGGGAGGCTGGGCTTCCCACCAACAGGCAGAGGCGTCTGTGACCAGAAAACGTCACGAACAGGTGTTACTGCCCAAGTGCCTTCCTGGGAGTGCGGCTGTGGCAGATTCAGCCGCCGTGTGCCCTCGCCTACGACGGTGCCTGCCTGGCACCCAGACATCCTCACTTAGCGGGTCCCTGCGCCTGGCCTGGCCCACCTGGGCTCAGGCACACAGCAGTAAGAGAGCAGAGGCGGACCCTCCCGGGGCTTGGAGTCTGTAGCAGAGCCGGCTCCAGGCCAGGAAGCCTCTGGGTGACGCTGGACACCCAGCACAGCTGAGGGCACACCTCCCGGCACTTCCAACCATCGACCATGAGCTCCTTCAACAAGTATCTGCCCCCAAGCAGAACCTCGAAAGGAAGCCACGCATGAGACGGGAGAGGCAGCCCGTGCTGGGGATACCCAGCCCCCGCCCCCAACACGGCCTGAAGCCCTGGAACCCAATCTGAAAGCTACAGTGGTCGATGCTCTCGGGAGGCCTCCCTGTCACTCAGGTCCGGAAGGAGCGTCGGCCGGTGTCCATGTGCCTCCCTGGACACACACACTGGGCCCAACAGCACAGCCCCGGGCTGCCAGAGCAACCGCAGGGGGTACCCACACGGCTCAGAGCCCTGGCCCCAGGTCGCCCCACCCCACCCCACCCCCGCGGGCGGGTGGGCGCAGGCTCCAGCTCAGGCTGCGCTCATGTGCTGCCCTGCTCCTGCCCATCAGGTGCTGAGGGAGGAGCCAGGCAGGAGCCCCAAGCCCCAAGCCTGTGGAACACATGGCGGGAGGGACAGCCGGTGGCCGCTGACGGAACCCGAGGGCGTGTGATCTGTACCAGCTGCAGAGGCTTCCGCCTGGGGTGCAGCCCGGGGTCCCCCTCTGAGTTAATCCTCTCGGCATCCAGATTATCCAGCCGGCCCTCGGTGCCCAATGCAGCCGCTGCGGTCACGTCCATCCTGCCCACAGTTCGCAGCCTCTGGGCCAGCCCTGCGCCCCCCTCCTAACAGCAAACAGGTCTCTAACTTCAAAGCAGATGGAACCCACAAAGCGAAAGAAAAGCGTCATCTTGAGACCAGACAGGCCGAAAATCATGAGTGGGGCCAATCCCTGGAGCCAGCCGGTTTCTCTGCAGCTCTGCAGCTCTGAGCTCTGAAAGCCGGACAGCCACTCTGGGAGAGGGTCAGGCCACACACCGGGCACCCGCACAGATGCCCTGGGCCGTGGGGAACGATGCGGTGCTGAGTGACCTGATGCCCACGAGGGAGGCCAGTCACCACCCTTGACTCAGATGGGCAGGCCCAGGTGGGTGGCTGGGGGGGGGGGTGGGCACTGGCTGGCCACTCCCGCCTCCCGGTGGCTGCGCAGCTGGCCAGAGGCACTGTGAGGCTGGTCTCTGCTCCAGGGCCTGGTGTGAGGGGAGGCCAGGGGGGCAAGCCAAAAGAATCATTCCTTGTGATAGCAGAATCCCACACACCACCGCAGCTCGGGGAACAAGACACAGTTCTGTCGGGGCTCTGGGAAGTCTGCAGGAAAGAGGGACTGACAGCCTTCATTTCCCAAGCAGCAGGCTACTGAAATCCGGCCATAACCAGAATGTTCAGAAATTGAATCTTGACACCCAAAGGAAAGGTGTCAACCATCGGCACACTGAAGCAAGGCGTTCAGGAGTTATCTAGAAAAGCTTCCAAGTTCTGTGCCAAGAAGAGCTGAAATAACACTCATTCTGGATCATCAGGCTGGCCTGTGTCAGAGTACAGCTCTGAGACCCTTTCCTTACTGGGGCAGAAGGGGGAAGGAGGCAAGGAACTGGTCATGGCGGGGCTCCCTGTGCCCCTGAAGCCCCAGCTGCACCATCGCACCCCACAGACACACTCAAGTCACGTGCAAAGTGGTGCAGGTTGTGAATGCTGAGGCCACCCTGGCGGGGAGAGCGAGGACCTGGCAGCAAGGGGAGGCTTAGGGCTGGGGGGAGGGTGGTGCTCCACAGGAAGGATGAGGAACCACTCGGTAGCACCACAGGTAGTGTCTCACGGACTCTGGTATTCGAAAACGCAAGCAGAAAGCCTGAGCGCTGTGTACAGTCATTTGGTTTAAGAACAACATCCGGTGTGGAGAAAAAGGAACTCTCTTGCACTGCTGGTGGGAATGCAAACTGGTACAACCACTATGGAAAACTATTTGGAGGTTCCTCAAACTGCTAAACATGGAGCTTCCCTACGACCCAGCAGTCCCACTCCGAGGCATCTACCCAAAAGACACAAAAATACTGATTCAAAAAGATACCTGCACCCCCATGTTTATTGCTGCTTTATTCACAACTGGAAAGACATGGAAACAGCCCAAATGCCAAAAAATGGATGCCTGGATTAAAAAGATGTGGTACTTATACACAATGGAATATTACTCAGCAACCAAGAAAAAGAAACACATGCCTTTTGCAGCAACATGAATGGAGCTGGAAAAGATCATGCTTAGTGAGATAAGCCAGAAAGAAAAGGAAAAATACCGGATGGTTTCTCTCATAGCAGGAGAGAAAATAATGATAATGATGAACAGCTATATACCAGAGACATTTTGTGGAGGTGGAGTGGGGAATGGGATGAAAAACAGTGGGGAGAGGGAAATGCACTGGACTATGGTGATGGCACATGGTGATTTGGTGACAGGAAACCCAAGGGGATTGCAAATGAGATGGAAAAATGCACAAAATGATGTAAAAATATACTATTATATATATATATACATATATACATATACATATACATGAAGAACAACATCCAGAACAAGCATGTGCACTTGTGTACACACAGAATGAATCTGAAAGTGCATCTGGCCCAGGGGAAGGGCAGTGAGGGCGGATGAAGAGCAACTTCCTGCCGGCTGCAAAGGCTCGTGTAGTTCTCGAATTCTGAGCCGTGTGCTTCTAACATCGCGAAGACAGAGAACCGGACCGTTGAATGCTCTTTAAAGTAATAGTTCCCGGTGTCCCAGCACCTGGCATAAAGCAGGTCATCGATGCACTGAAACAAGGCATTCAGGGGTTATCGAGAAAAGCTTCTGAGCTCTGTGCAAAGAGCGGCTGAAATAACACCCACTCTGCGCCATCAGACTGGCCCGTGCCAGAGGGCTGAGCACAGGCTGAGCCCCTTTCCCTACTGGGGTACCGGGAAGATGAGTGGTGGAACGCACTGCTGTGCGTACTGTAGCAGCCGCTGCAAAGCCACGCAGCTTTCCCCTTTACGCTTCCTAGGCTTTCTACAAGTGGGGCTATCACTCACCAAATAAGAGAAAATGTAACCAAAAAGTTAAATAATTCAAGCATTTTATTAAAAACCTGCACCTGGAGAAAATTTTGATAGACTCAAAAACTGTCTTGCTCTTGGTAACTATTGTGTGAGAAAAGCGTCCTGAACAGTCTACCCTGAAACGCATAAACCTGCTTTTCCAAATGCTAGGAGACCAGTGAAGGGAGAGACCCTTCTCCTCACTCCCCAGTCTACCCCCAATTCCAAGGAGAACACAACCTTGGGGAATTTAACATGGGAACTTGCCAAACTAGCCTTTCCGAAGAGGAGGGAGAATGATCTTGGAAGGCTTCAGGGAGGAGGCAGCACCAAGCAAAAACTGAAGACAGACACTGGGGAGAAGATAGAGAGGGATCACAGGAGGTGAGTCCCTTTCCCAGAAGACCTGGGATTGGGGGCAAAAGTTCCACTGAGGGGCAGACATGGACAATGAATGGCAAGTGGACAGAGGGCTACGCAGACCTTCCCCCCAAGGGCCCGCTTGTCCACATCCTAACTCGGGCCACTCCTGAAGACCGAGTCTGCAGGGCCGGGGCAGGTCCTGGGAAAGACTTGGAGTCTGTCAAACTCCAGGTGTT